AAAAAAAAAAAAAAAAAAAAAAAAAAAAAAAGCCAATCTTTCAAAACATTACATGAGACAGTAAACCTCTGAGCAGATCAGCTGGTACAGTAAAACTACTATCAAAGACAGGTCTTACCGCAATCAAGGCAAATTAATATCTAATAAAGCTATTTGCTATTTACATGTTTGCAATGTTGGTCCTGAGTAGCATCTGGAGGCTCTTCATAACAAATAAACCAAGAATAATACTAAAAAGACCTTAAATTTTTACAAATTGTTTCCCTTCAAGCAGAACATACACTGTCTATCAATGAAGCTGAAGCTTGAGAATTGGCTCTGCAGGTAAGAGCATACACATACTGCTCCTGCAGGTGACCCCAGTTCAGTTGCCAGCACCTACTCTGTCCAATGCCCTCCTCTGGCCTTTAGTGGCAACTACACTTACATACACAAACCTTACTGCACCCAGACAGACACACAATTTAAAACAATAAAGAGAAAAATTTAAAAAAAAAAAAAAAAAAAAAAAAAGGATCTGAAGCTAGGCATGGTAATGCACATCTTTGATCCCAGAACTCAGGAGGCAGAGGCAGGTATATCTCCAAGTTCAAGGCCAGCCTGATCTACAAAGCAAGTTCCAGGACAGCCAGCACTACACAGAGAAACTATCTCAAAAAAAGAAAAACCTCAATAAATCAGAATAAGGAAGCTTTAAGGCACTTGCAGAAGCAATAGGTCTATTTTTCTGTTATGAATACTAAGCATCAATTTTCTGCAAAAAAAAAAAAAAACATGAAAACATACATATATTAGTCTGATTTAAGAAATACTGCTTCTAGAAATCATGTTTAGAAATAATCTTGGGCTTAGGCTAGAACGCAATGTCTGCACAAGCTTCAGCTATGACTGAATAAGCAGTATATTCAAATTGCAGAGGGGGAAAAAAGTACACAATAAAGCAACAATGAAAAAATGAATTAAGAGTGCTCTCTCTCTCTCTTCTCCCTCCCTCCTTCTCCCTTCCCCCTACACCTTTCCCCCTCCACAGGATCTCTACATAGCTCTGGCTGCCCTAACTAATATTTGGTCAATCTAAAAACCACAGGGGTAAAAGAAATAAAGGAACCTATCTCTATATTAACAAAAGTCTACTCTTTCCAAAAGATAACACCTGCCTTATATCCCAGTACACAGGAAGCAAAGGCAAGTGGGTCAGCTGTGGGATGGAGACCAGCCAGGTCTATATATTGGCTTCAAAGACAGCCAGAGATACATAGTGAGTCTTGAAGAAGAGGGGAAAAAAAAGAACAAACTTGTCTTATATAAATACTTCAAGACTCTTGGAAGGTAGATAAGGAGTCAGGTTTCTGGAAGAGAAACAAGAACAAAAGGATTAAGTGTCTTGTCCAACAAGTCACCAGTGAAGATAAAACCAGAACTATTTAGCCTGCAAAGTTTAAATAACCTATCTTTTTTAAAAGTACCTACAAATCATCACAAGCTGTAGAATTTCACCCAATAATACATTTCATCAAAACACAATTTCAGGATTGAGTATTTTGAGCAAGGAAATATTGCTTGCCCAAAAACTAATAAAACAAACAGGACGGATCTAAAACTTACTCATATAGTGCAGATGTGATGGCTCATGTATGTAACCCAGCAGGCAGGAGGGTGTTTCTTTTGTTTGAGAAATACCTGGGTGACACAGGGATGTCTATGGGTATCTTGAGCTACAAAACAATGAGTTACTATGTCCAAAAAAAAAAAGGAGAGGGACTAAAGGAAGAAGCAGTGACTATATTAAGAGATAATTTTCAAAGATTATTCTAATCATTTCATATCCTACTGCTCAAATTCCCTGCCAAGGAGCAATGGAAGGGCAGATATCCTCCTTATAATTATCCTATATATACATCGAATCTCAACAAACTCAAGAGTTTCTATCAAAAGCATACTAAAATACATTTCCCTCCAAAATTAAAATCTTTAGTAATGCCTCTGAACACTACTTTATTCCCTGCAAACCTAGATTTTAAAAATCATTAACTTACTTAAAAATTGGTACTCTACCCCTCCCTTGCTATGTCTCAGCAAGATACTCGTTCCTACTAAAACTTAAAAGTACAATGCCTACATGAAGATAACTGCGAAAGTTGACAAAAGGAAACCACTCAACCCAGAAAGACCATACACATCCAAAGCAGACCTTTTCTTTGAAACCATAGCAGTACCATACTACATACTATATGAAATGCAGAATTAATTCTATGACAAGATGAAATCTACTTTGTAACAAAATCTGACAAGACAAATTTCAACTGTCAAGAGAGAATTCACTTTCCATGAGTCTAGGAAACAGTCTCAAAACAGTTTGCTTAATTCTTCCAAAACCCCCCCCCCCCCCCCCTCTCTCTCTCTCTCTCTCTCTCTCTCTCTCTCTCTCTCTCCCCCTCTCCTCTCTCTTCCCCCCCTCACCCCTATCTAACACAAGCTACAGAACACTAAAGGAGACAAGACACTGAACTGTCTCTGCTCAAACTCCTGAAGGTTCTCATAGCAAGCTGATAATGACCTTTATGTTCCCCAACTCCAGAGGTGTCTTCCCTCATTAAAGCTAAAATCACATATACCATCAAAGCAAACTAAATACCCAAGAACCAAAAGTCTCAAGCTAAAGTTTAGTTTACTTAGGGGAAAAAAAAGCAGACAATCCATCAGTTCTTAACATTTTAAAGGTTAGAATCCAAAGGCTCCATTTCTGCCATTTTTAGAAGCTAGATGTACTTTTCTATAGCATGGGGCTCAGGTCTTACATCATCCAAAGCCTGAATCACTGTCCCATTACCCAAGAAGCATCTGGGTACCTGAGGTATCCCTTCCTCTTAGAGCTTTTGAGGCTACTGGCCTCTGGGATCTTGCACCTTCACTAAGCCATCTGCCACTAACCTGCTGCTAACCCATTTCTTCTATCTTTGTGGGTGTATTCCTCATGATGCTGTATAGCTGTCTGCCTGTCTACTCATCAGTCAAAAAGCTAAGTAAATACACACCACACACCTCCCAACTTGTGAACAGACACGCAGCTGTCCTATTTCTTCCCACTCACTGTTCTGGAACTAAAAGTCAGGTTTCATCATCTCTGTGATCCTAGAAGAATGAACTGGAAGATATGGTACACAATTGAATGTCCTGTTTTCTATTAGTATCTGTCTAGGATCCATATCCTCTGTCCATTGCCCCAAATGTCTAGTCCCTCTAAGCCTGAAGCAAATCCTCTCTAGTTTTTTTTTCTCCCATTCAATTTCTGCACGATACCCTTTATTATCTCAGGGACCTAATAATTTGACCTTCTAATGTCTGTAAGCAGTGCAATCTTTCCATACATTTAAACACCTAAAATCTTCCAAACTCTCAAGTATCCTACTTCTGAATGCTCTCCAACAGTCATTTCCTCCCTTAAACGTGGGCATCCTACTATTTCCCTCACCACATCAACCCCATACAGCTGTCCCTTTCTAGTCAGACATGCATCCATATATGCCTTCCTTGTCCTTCCTTCAGTATACATTCTCTATTACAAAATAGCCTTTCTTCCCACTATCCCCTGCCTACACCCTTCCCCTCTTCCTCATGGTACTCCATCCTATCCCACCTTCTACTGATTTTCCTTAAACATACCCCCCTCCATCTTCCTCCTCCTCTCCAACTTCTCTACACACTTTCTGCATGGGAGCATTTTCTTCCTTATGTCCCTACACTTCACCTACCACTTCACAAACATCCCTCCCCTGCCCTTCTGCCCACCACCCCACTCTCCATCCTGCCACACACACCTGTCCCTTTCCAGGATGCCCCCAACCTCAAGGTTCCTCTTCTGCTGTTGCCCACCAGTATTTCTCACACAAACACCCTCCATTTCATTTCACCCACTTCTGCTGCCTATTACTGCTATATACACCTCCTGCCTGGACACCTCTTTCCATCCAATCACCTAACCTCCTTGTCCCCATTTCTCCCTGAAAACCCTCAAACTCAGTCCATGTGCCAATCACCCCCCCCCATTAGTCCCATCCTCCTCTCCCCTGAGTACAGGGCAAACACCTGCCTTTCTCCCCTAGCTTGTCTCCCTCCATTCCTCTGAGCCAGACACCCATACATGGGACTCCTGGAGTCCTGGGCACACAGACTGGAGACAGACAAACAGACCACACACACACACACACACACACACACACACACACACACACACACACACACCTCTCTCTCTCTCTTCTCTCTCTCTCCTGCTATGGACCCCTCCTCCGCCATTTCCCTTTAGGTCCGGTGGCCTTCCCACTCTCTGCCCCGGTCCCTGCCCCTCACATGCAGCTCTAACCGGGGCATCTGCTCCTTCCAGTTCTGCCTAAAGGTGCCCATCTTCTCCCTCCTTCCACCATCTCATTTAGCCCTACCCGCCCCAAATTCCCCTTCACACTCGTCTGATCCCCCAAACGAAACGTCTTTCCCTCTCAAATCAACCTAGGGCCCCACGGGTTCCCCAGGCCTGCCCTTGAGGCCCTGGTCACCACGGGGCCGCGTCCCTCAACCCTCCCTTCTCCCTAAATCTGCCCACACCCTGTGTCCGCCCCCCGAGCCTCTCCCCGGTTCCTGCCCGCAACGTCCTCCAGCACCTGCCCGGAGCCCTCCCACTTTCCCCAAGCTCGCGCCCCACACGCTGCCCACGCCCTCGGGAGGCTCAGGGCCGGGACTCGCGACCCCGAAGGCAAGCAGGGCGGCCCGCAGTCCTGGCACCGACCGGCCAGGCACCGCAGCGGCGGCCACAATGCCAAAGCCGCGGGGCCGGGATTGCGCCTCGCTCTTCGCCTCGGCAGCCGCCGCCGCCGCCGCCGCTGCTAAGGACGCACAACAAACAATGCGGGGCCCGGGCCCGCTCCGCCAACCGACTCAACCGCCGCCTCAACCGCCGCCCACCCGGGTCGGCCCGCCGCGCAGGCGCCGGCCCTGCCGCAGCCTACCCGCGCCGTCGCGCTCAGCCCGCGTCCGCTCTCTGCTCCCGCTCTGCCGCCGCCGCCACCTCGTCCGCCCGCGACTCCAGCTCCTCAGCACAGCGGCGGCGGCTGCGGCGGCTGCTGCCCTGGTGGCGCTCGCGGATCCGAGATCGGCTTCGGCGGCGTCCGCGGCGGCGGCGGCGCACACGTGACGACGCCGAGCACCTCCATTGGCCAAGCCTGGGGGCGGGCCCGCGGCTGCTGGGGAACGGAAAGCCCGCCCCCTCGCCCTCTGCGCGCCCCCTGAACGCGCGCTCTGCCGCACCTGAGAGCTCCGGCCAGCGCCCGTCGCCCCCGTGCCGCGCCGCTGCCTGCGCCAACTGCGCACCTGGGAGCGCGCAGGGCTCTCAAGCCCGCGGTCGCCACCTGCACCTGCAAGGTGGGTTACGTAAACTGCGTCCCGCCCACCTCGCGGTTCCTAGCACGGACCGCGTCGGCACCTGAGCCCCACTGCGCCCGCGACGTAAGCGCTGCTGAGCGGAGGCCAGCTGCTGGAAAGAACGAAAGGCGCGGAAACTTCGTTACCTCGGAATCCGAGAGCCGCTCCCAGCCGCAGTAGCGAGCCGGCCTTCCGAGGCTCCACGCCCCGATGGGAGATGCTTTTCCCGACCTCAGCCTCTACGCAAACGGAGTAAGCGCCGCAGTTCTACGGGTGGAGGAGGGGCAAGCTGTACCCTGACGGAGTAAAAAGACTCGAATCCGTCCTGGACTCCTGTTGCCCGTTGTATGACCTTGGCCAAGTTATAGAATCTCTCTGAGCCTCAGTTTCCACTTCACAGAAACTTAAACAGTAATTCCGATTTAAGAGCCGTTGAGCAGATGGCATAAAACAATGGATATTAATTTTCCTGGCACATAGTAAGCACTGAACAGAAATCAAAATCGCCTCTCCTTACTCCACCCTTAACGGCCCGGGAAATCTTTTCCCTCAAGTTTGTGGCAAACTGGCTAAAAGTCTACCCGCTTTGTTTCTGTCCTAGTACTGGATAAAGCTATTGGGCGGCACCTCTTAGTGGCTAGTGTTCTGCCAGCCAAATCAGGCCCTACTATGTATGTGCAGTGTGCCCTGTGCCGAGCAAGGAGACAGAATGCCCTGGAGAATGAGCCAAGGTCCTTACCCTAAAGGAAATTCCTGGCAAAGAACCTGACCACCTGATGCAAGAAGACAGTGGGGGACAGACCTCCCACACCAACCCCTGGGTGGTACTCTTCTCATTTTGCTACTGTACTAGACACAAATATTAACAGCTCTGAACTGAAAATAATGCTCAATGATAGGACAAGTTTGTCTGACACAGACAGGATCGAGGGTTGCATTCACAACACCACCCAAAAAATAGATTCATTTACAGAATAATGTGTTAAAAAGCTTTGGCAGTATGGCCTTCAACTTCAAGGCATACACCTTTCCCTTGCCCCTCCTTCAGGCCAACTTGATCCTTAGGTAACTACAAAGCTGTACTTCCAAAGTATGCCCAGGTCTATAACAGCTCTGCGCTTCCTGAAGTCTGTGTGAGGCCCAAGATCACTGTCTGATTGCCACCTTCTAGCCTTAGAAAGCATGTTCTCTCAGCTCAAAACATACTCTCTCCGGAGCTCTTTGACTGCCCAGCTTGCACATCACCCTGTTCTACAATGCATTGTTATGTCACTGACTGTTGCTCATTCAGTCAGTGTCTTCCCTGGCTTATAAGGACCTTGAGGAAAGGCTCAGCCCTCTGCCTTAATGATTTGGGGAAGACCACATGCACAGAGGCTGAGATCATTAAAGTTGGGTTTTGCAGTATAAAAGGAAGTTTGCCAAGGGAGAAGAGATGCTGCAGTGTAAAAATCCAGGTTCACTGTGTGACCTTGGCAAATAGGTCTTAGTGCTCTCATCTGTCAAATCACACATAATTCTGCATACCTTGGAGCTCTGTTACAAAGAGTCAATGAGACTACATTTAAGGTATTCTGCCCTTAGAAACCAATACTTAGAAAAGTTTAGTACTTTTTTAAAATCAGAAAACTAAATGTCATTATAGTATCTCTTATTTTGATTTTTATTGGGCTTATAACTCCAAACATTAATAACAAAAATGGGCAAATGAAAGTAGGCTAGATGGCTCAGCAGGTAAAAGTGTTTGCTGCCCAGCCTGACAAACCTGAGTTAAATCCCAGAACCCACATGGTATAAGGAAAGAATCCCACAAGTTATCCTCTAACCTACTTCTACAGAAATGTCATGCTACCTGTGCCTACAGTCATACACAAAAACAAAAATAAAAATGTAAAAAATAGATAAAGCAAGCAGAGAATTGGTAGCACATACCTTTAATCTCAGACTCCAGAAACAGAGGCGGATATGATTCAACACATGAGAGCACTCCATCAATGCTTTGCAGAGAAAATTCTGTTGTGTCTCACATCACATGTACAGTGAAAGATGAAAGTTGTAGCCAGGTATGGTGCTGCCTACTTGTGATCCTAACATTTGGAAGACCAACAAGGAAGGACCAGAAACTCAAAGCTAGACTCTGCTACATATAGATCTGTCAGCCAGCCTGGACTGTGTGAAACTCTGTCTTAAGAAGCCAAAAATAAGAGGTTAAGTGTGGCTCAGTTATAGAGTGCTTGCCTAGCTGTTTGCCTAGTATGCAAAGTCCTGGGTCCCATCCCAGAACTGCATGAATCAAACCTATAATCCTAGCAAATGGTAGATAAAGGCAGGAGGGTCAGGATTTCAATGTCATCCTCAAGTATATAACAAGATCAAGAAACTGATGCCATCAGGGGCTACATGAGACCTAGGTTTTTGTTCTTATTTCGTTGGTTATGTTTTTAAGGTAATAAGGAAAAAATTACAAACAACTCATGTATCTATAATCTATTTTAGATTTGCATAGAAAAAACAAAGTTATTAACATTGATCATTCCTGGTTTTGCCTAGAAAATAGAATTGGATGTGACAGCAGAGGACTTTCCTTCTACATTGCTTGAAATTTTTAAGTATACATTCTTAATTACGTGTATGAATATAATTATACATGACTGTGTGGAGTTGGAATTACAAGCAGTTTTGAGCCACCTGATGTTGCCGGAAACCAAACTCAGGTCCTCTGCAAGAGCAGCACTTGTTCTTAACCACTGAACATCTCTCCAGCCCCTGCTTTAAACTTTTTTTCTTTTTATGCTTGAAACTTTAAGAATATAAACATATATGTAATTCTTTTAACATTTTTAAAGAAAACGTACACATCATAAAAACATGCATTTCAAGCTTAATGTTTTATTATTATTTTGAGGGTGGCTTGGGGGTAGTTTTGTTTTTGTTTTTGTTTTATTTCATTGTTTGAGACAAAGTCTCATTGTATAACCTAAACTGGCCTTGAACTGAAGATCCTCCTGTCTCAGGCTCCTGAATGCTGAGGTTACAGGTATGAGCCACAACTACTGGCTTAACATAAATCAGTTTCTGAATGCTTGGGATATTTTTTATGGTTTCTCATAAAAATATCCATCCCTATTCCTAGTCACTAATAGTCACTAATCTATTTTCTGTTTCATATATGTATATGTGTGTGAGGTGAGGCAATCTTTTTTTTTTTTTTCCTTTTTTTTTTTTTTTGTTGATTTTTTTTCGAGACAGGGTTTCTCTGTCCTGGAACTCACTTTGTAGACCATGCTGGCCTTGAACTCACTAAGATCCTCCTGCCTCTGCCACCCAAGTGCTGTGATTAAAGGCGAGCGCCACCAATGGCAATTTTTTTTTCTTGTGTTACCATGAATTGAACTCAGAGTCTCATGCATACTAGTAAGCATAATGAAATCAGGGCTGAGGATGTGGCACATTTGGTACAGCCATTCTTAAAGTAAATATCAACTGAGATCTTATATGTAGAAGACCCTAGAGATTAAAAAAAGTAGAAAGAAAACAGGCTGTCCCCATCCCCATCAGTCTGATACAAATCAATCAATCAATAAATGTAGTTTTGAAAAGAGGAGTAGAGCCAGATGGTAGTGGCATATGCCTTTAAAACTAGCACTTGGGAGGTGGAGGCAGGTGGATTTCAGTGAGTTCTGGTCTACAAAACAAGTTCCAGGATAGCCAGGACTGTCATACAGAGAAATATGTATGGGGGAAAGAAAAAAAAATAAATAGTGGATGGACTCTGGTATAACTTCCAATACAGTGTTCTTGGGCCAAGGACACTGAAAGATGACACTGCGGCCAAGAGGAAAATATCCAGAGCAGTGCTGTCTGTCCATTGCAGTAGATGTGACCATTTAAATTTAATGTATTTAAATGTAAATATAATGTGGGGCTAGTGGATACATCTTAGTAGGCAGAGTAATTGTGTGCCATACAGAAAGTCCTGGGTTCAATCCCCAGCACTACATAAAGTTAAGCAGTATAATCTATAATCCTGGAACTTGGTGGAGGCGGAAGGAACAAGAGTTCAAAGTCATCCTTGGATATATAACAAGTTCCAGGCCAGCCTGCCTGAGCCACATGAGATGTCATTAAAAAAAAAAAAAAAAAAGGAAATAAAATTTAAAATATAGAAACACTAGGCACAGTTAAAGCTTTCCAGAAGCAGGTCAGTACTGACACAAAAAGGCTCAATAACAACAAAACAATAACAGTAACAGTCACACCTCCCTTCCAGAGCCCATGTCCTGGCATACCATCTCTATCCTCCTGTCTTCCTTCTCTTCTTTTACAAAATCAGACACTGAACAATGGCCCAGTCTCTGTCTGGTGCCTGGTTGTCCCCCTTTCCTACTCCCTAAGGGAGATCACTCCATAGCTTGTTCTTCTTTGTTGTGGCCAGTCTCTCTCTACTGGAAATTTTCCATTATTAAATAGCCCCTTCCATTTTTTTTTTAAATGAAACAAGATCTCTAGGTCATTCATGTGTATGCTACAGCTTGAGATGTGCTGGCCCAAATGCAACAAGGACAGATAGCAATCAAATGGAGCTTCCAGTTCTGAGGTAGGATTGCTGTTGCTAACAAGAGGCTCCAAAATGGTAAACAGCCCTTGGTACAGTTCAAACAAAGCAGAGTCTTTGTTCACTTTGCATAGCATTTGCCTCCCTGGAATAGTGTAAATCATGCTGGAATCGACTTTGTTC